GCTTGCGCTGGAGTTTTATGTTTTTCCCTCATACCTTATAACCAGGTAAACTAAAAAATTAATATGAAGCAAAGCCTCAAGAGAAAAATGTAGATAAAACAGGAAAGTTTGGGTTTATTTCAGATATTTAAAACAAAGAATTAATCAATAATTATTGCTACGGACGGATATGAAATCCTCATATCATGAAAAGTTTTTCTGAGATTCAACTTTCAATTGTCTGAAAACAGAAATAATCCTGCCTCAGTTCTTCCATTTTTTATTTATTTTTTGTGTGTCTCTTCTCAAGCTCGCAGTCGGTTAAGCCTGGCTCGAGCTGAGCCCGGTTCTGGTTCTGCTGGAGCTTTCTTCCGGTTAAAGGGGAGTTTTTCCTCTTCACTCCCTTATGCATGTGCTGTATGAGGGATTTAAATTAAGTCAACGACTCAGCACAGGCAATCGTCGCTACATGCTGGTCCAGGAGGAGTCACTGGCTCGATGCAATCTGCTGGGTTTCCTTAGAAACTTTTTTAATCGTTCTGAATAATTAACAAATGTATTTGTTATTGAATTGAAATTATTTGTTTGGGTTTCTTTTTTTTTTTTTTGCCTTGTCTCTTAATCCCACTATTCCCCTCCACTTTAGGAGTTTGTGTCAGTGAGCAGCGCCAACTTCCTTAAACTGAAAAGAGACAGAAAGAACCAAATAGACCACAGCAGGTAAGAACTAGTAAAAGAAACAAGGAAAGAAGAACAATAAGTTGATAAAAATACAAAAGTAAATGAAAAGAGCCCGTTTACAAACAGAACAAATGCATTTAAAACCAATAAGCATTTCATTGCAAACCAAAACGTTTTGGTTGAAGAAGTAAATGGTGCATATTATAGGAGAGTATGTAGTGAGCATGCAGTGCGGATTTATTATGTTTTTGTTACACTGCTCTTAAATAAAATGCTTTAGTAATATTATTATTAAAGGTCCATATAATCTCTGTTTATCATGGGGAGTAGAGCTGCATGATATATTGTAGATATATCACCATCGCACTGAGGTGATGTGACATTAACATTGTAAGAAGACAAAGACAGAAGAGAGACAAATGTTGGTTTCTCACTGTTGGAGCTGCTTGGTCTTCTGGTATCAGGCTGCTACGCTGGGCACACTCAGAACATTTGTCTGAGGACGGCGCTCGGCGCTGGCTCAGAGCTCTCAGTAATTAGGATTAGGAGTCATTTGGCGGATGGCAGCATTTGCATCCCTTCTCTTTGAGAATTAGAGCCATGTGTTGCTGGTTTCTGGGTGTGGATTTTATCCGGTGCGAACACGATTCACATTAAAGATTTGACCGCATAACCTAAAGTTAGATGGTTTCTTTACCTGCTGTCCCCGCACTGGACCAGGCATGATGGGAAAACCACCAAACACAGAGAGCGAAACTGTTTCCCTTCAGCACAAGTGAGTTTTTATTACTCAAACGCCTGATGTACTCTCAGTGGAAAGCAGCGCTGTGGGTTTTTCTTTTTTCTTTCTTTCTTTTTTCAAACCTGTTTAAGCTCATTATGAGACATTCTGATCCCTGAGTACTGCAGTCATTTTCCACAAGCTTCAACTTTTATGTCATGTTGAATCACTTCATTTCCATTAAGTCATTGTCTCTGTAATTTATGCTCCAGTTTGGCTCAGAGTGTCCCAGTGCTGTGAAGCATCTGTTTCCAGTTTGTTAACTAAAGATCCATTTTAATGGCTCTGAGGAAGTGAGAGGCAATGTTCCCTGTTTTCTGTAAATAACTGCAAAAAACACATAATCCTAGATTCCTATGCACATGGTCAGTTAGGCATTGTCAAAATTTTGCTAACTATATTTTAGCTTCAAATCTGCACTGGAGCGATTCTGCTCACTAAAGCTGCAGCATGTAACTTATATGAAAAACTGTTTGTTTTTTTCATATTTGTTGAGACTGTCACCATGTTGTGACAATATGGCATAAGATATAATCTGTGAAAAGAATCCACTCATCTGCCTTCTCCCAGGAACTAGAAACAAGCAATCAGAGCCAGGAGGCGGGGCTTAGTGCTGTCACTCACCTTCTGTGAGGCACTGCTCATTCTCTTTCCTGCTCAAGCTAGTTAGCATGGCCACCGATGACAGCGAATAAACAGTTTTTCTGTAACATTTTGTTGTTCAGCATGTTCAACAGCAGGGTGATTGACAGCACTAAGACCCGCCTCCTGGCTCTGACTGGTTGTTTTATTTGGGAGTGGTGCATTTCTTCACAGCAGTAGTGGCTCAGGCAGGAGGTGAAGGAGAGCCATCTTTTCATAGATTTTCTGTCTCATACTGTCACAACCTGGGGCAGTTTTAATATAAAAGAGATATTTTTTTATAAAAGTTATATTTTCTGTTTCTTTTTATTTATTTATTTATAGAACTATGGCCGTGTTGATGTAGTTAGCACAAAATCTGAAATCTGACATTTGAAATCGTTCTGCATTTTTAGTTTTCTCAACCTTTATTCCAAAGATAATGTTAGCTCGCCTCTGCCTGACACACTAACTAGCACTTACTGCTGTAACTGTAGTAAATTGTTGCAAATTAATTCTCATTTCTATTGATCCGAGGGAAAGGAATCAGAAAGGTATTGAGTTCTCATAAGATATGGACTTTTAAAAGAAAAAGCATTAAAAAGGGACACACAAATGTTGGAGAAGTTTGATTGTTTTGACATATGTCTGCTGTAGCAAATTTTCCATTTCTTATAAACGTAAGCAGTCTGTGGTAGCAGCTGGATGCTCATACTGAACCATGTTCTGGTTCTGCTGGAGGCTTCTTCCTGTTAAAGGGGAGCTTTTCCTCTTTACTGTCACCACATGCATGTTCAGTACGATAGATTCCTGTAAAGTCAACGGGTCAATGCAATCTGATGGGTTTCCTTCTGTAGTCTTGGACTACTTTGAATAATTAGCTGAGCTTAGTGTCCTGTTACTGTCATTTAAATAAAATGAACTTAAAAGAGTAAACACACAAAAAAGTCAAGCATTGTCTCAGTCAAGCCTGTGATGAAGTACATTTTGGCTCCTTTAAATCTTCCCATCAGTTCATCTCCCTGATGCTTTTTCCATCTGCAGCCATTTTCAGGAAAAGGCTTCACTCCTGAGACTCAGTTGAAACAAAACACATATGTGAGGAAGTCGGTGCTTTTCCATGTCAGATTAGTCAGGGTTTGGGTGTTTTTTTTTACCCCAGAATCATGCTCCTAATCTAAACAGGAAGTTCATCAAGATAAATCCCAAGGACCAAGAGGGAGCGTGTAAAGAGGAGGAGCTGGAACCAGGAAACGGACCGAACAGGATCCGTTTCACTAAGCTCAGTGAGACAATCCAACTCTGCCAAAGAAAAGGGATTTTTTTCCCCCATCATGTACTCTATATTCAGTATATACATATATTCATGTCCAGTAATTATTGTGTACCAAAATGTTAGTTTTTATAAACTTTCTCATTCCCCCAGACTAAAATGATTAATGTGCAGCGGATAGAAAAACTGATGATGTTTTCTCTCTCGTGCCGTCTGCCCTTCCATGGAGGAACATGTCAATTGTGGAAAACCTCTTCTCTCATTATTCCATGTCAGGGTTTTGTTTTTGGCTCAGCATGAGAAAGGTCTGTGAGGAACCTGACCCATTTCCCCACTAATTAGATGTTCTCAGTCCATACTATCACTTTAAAAATACCCCAAAAAAAAAAAGTCTGAAAAGCAGCGCTTTATCGCCTGACATTATGTTCAAGTTAAGTGCCTAAACATACAGGAACGTCTACTGTGTTTTTGTCCGGCCAAAATGCAACGAGACTGACAGACAAGCTGCTACTGTTATAGATTTAGAGCTCTTTCACATGCATATCAATGAATGCATTATGCAGTATACGTCACAGGTTTTTATTTATTTTTAATTAAACCCTGACATTTCTGTCTTCCATCTTTAAAAAAGCATGAGAGCAATTAACCAGTTTCTTTGTGAATGAATACAACAAATGTCAACTGGCACATATGTCTCTCATATCAAGGATTTTTTAAAAAGAGATCATTTTCCAGTCGTAATGTGAGTGTGGTGGTCTTCGCTATCAAAACTGTTCTGATCTGTGAGGCAACTTCGAAAGCTGACAGGGTGAAAAACAGCAGTTCCTCTGCTATATCGTTTTATTAATGTCAGCCTGTTCTGTGGATTCTTAAGACCGCCGAGACTGAAATCTAAAGGAAATACGGGTAATACACACGGGAAGCCAAGGGAAAAGCTACAAAGAAAAAAACAAATTCAGTAATGGAGGTAAATTAGTAACATTTATTTGAGCAAACATTATAATTCAGGTTGTAAACGTATATTGGGATGCTGAAATGCTGAGGCCTGCAGGAGCACCTACTACTGGGAACATTCAAAATGGAAGCTAAAGCTAAATTCAATGTGTATGTCTAAGTTGTGCAATCACTGCATTAGGCCATGTACATCAACAGAGTAGATAGAAATAGTTTGACGGGAGGAAAAAAACATGATAAAAACGTGTGTAGAAACATAATTCCAGTTGCAGATTTACTGGTGGGACATTGAAGCGCTTTTTTATACCTTTAAAGCTTGTCACGGCATTAAACGTTAACAAGCTACTTTGTTGTGAAAATGTTTTTTGCAAACTGGAAGAGATTTACTGATGGCACATAGAGGTCAAGGGTCGCAGACATGGAGCTTGAAGGGCCAGGGCGTCACTGGTTCCATCTTATGTAACACAGGAAGTGCAGTCTCTAGACAAATGCAACAAACTTAAAAAAAATCTTGCGTTTGACTGCAATGATTCAAAGTTCGGTTTCGCTGAATCTAAAGTCCCGGAAGGTCTTTTTAACCAAAGAGAGCTCCATCAGGTAAAAACCAGAGGTGTATGAGGGCTGCAGTCTGTTCATCACCGCTTCTCATTATTTGAAGGGCCGTGTTAAAAGCGCTCTGCCTGACATATTTCTCTCAATGTTCTTCCACAGAACCTTGACATTCACGTGGAGGACGTGCGAATCCGAGCCATCCTGTCCTCCTACCGTAAGCGGATCCCTGTGACTGAGGGCTACGTAGAGGTGAAAGATGGCGGCAAATGGAAGCAGATCTGTAACGCAGAGTGGAACGAGTTCAACAGCAGAGTCATCTGTGGCATGTTTGGCTTCCCAGGGGAGAGGAAGTTTAATGCCAGAGTCTACAAGTAAGCGCGGGTGTGTTGTTTTGGTGGGGCAATGAAACGCTTGCACAGAAATTCAACATGTTAATTGGTGCAGTGTGTTTGAGACCATAATGTTCAACACACCAACTTTGTGAACCAATTGGTGTAACTCAGTGAGAGTCTTCATGGAAGGGGGAAGTTTATTCAAGGAATGTCTTCAACCACGTTGACTGTTGATCTTCCTCTGAATCGCCTTATAGAGTTGCAAAATCAACAAATTGCTGATGGTCTTTCTACATGAATCAGGTTAGATGTGATGACAGACCATTCTTGAAGCAAGACGAGAGAATGATATAAATGCCTCAGGAGGAGGAGCTTAATTTGGTTCTAATTTCTTCTAAACCTTCATGGGTGAGTTGGTGAAATTTAGCCATTTTCTCTACATTTGTCTGCTGGGCTTATCATTCATACCGGACTTGATGATGAAGTGCTCTGTACGCAGATGGTTGACATGTCAGAGTCAAGAGTACTGACTGCCAAAATTTCTCGTGATAAACTCCTTCATTTCCCACAATCCCAATGGATATTAGTGAGTTTGATGAACGGGTTGAAAAGAATAAAATATTTGATTTGAAGTAGATAATAAGCTAAATGTGTGTAGCATCCTCTGATGAGTCTTAAAACATTTAAAACGTTTATCAAAACCAATTTACGTTTTAAGAACGGTGTAAATCTTCTTACATGTTCTTAATCATAACCAACCATAAATTCACAGATTATGTTCATGTTTCTACCTGAAGCTGTTCTGAGTGTTTTCTGGATCGATTTGAGGCTGGTTGCTTGTTTTCCGAGTGAAAATGTGGATGTTTTTTACTTCCTGGCCTGACGCCTCTCAACTGTCGGGATGTTGGGAGCAACATGAAACTGCTGCTGTGCATATTACACAACAAGTTGTTGCTAGGTAACCTAAGTGAGTTGATGCTCAAAAACAATCAACCAGCTCATCAGAATAGATCTGACTGAAAGTTTCGACAGTGCTGTTCTTAAGAAAAAGTTTTAGTCAACGGACGTTGCACTTTCAAAGATAACAGAAAAATGATCAGTCAATGCAACGTCAATTAAAAGACTTTGGAAATTTGTATTTGTAATCAAGCCCAGAGCGTGTCCCTGACTGCATGTTGCCTGTTTCACATGTTCAGTCAAACCAAAGTTTTGAAGTATATCACAGCTTCTTTGCTTTTCTGTCTGATTTTGAAATCTCCCACAATTATGAAACAGTCATCAATACATGAAACAGAGAAGATGTCACTAAAGTCATTGGAAAATAATTTTGATTTTATCCTCAAACGTTGGTTGATCATTAACATCCATATTCCACTGACTGTCCCGTCACAGACAATAAGAACTTTTGGTAAGTTTTCTCTTTTCTGGGCCAATTTAGGAGGAACCTGGTGCTAGTGCTGCACAGAGAGCACAAGAGGTTCAAAAACTGTTTCTCTTTTTTTTTTTTAATCCTATATGTAAGCCATGCTGGTGTGATTTTTAAATATGTATCCAGAGTAGCACAGGTGTGTGTCTGACAACAGACACTGCAACCCGTACCTGACTCCTGGCTGTCTGACATCAGTGCATTGCACTCAGCTCATGTAATGCCTGAGAAACCACTGATGGATCATAAATCCTGCTTACGTAAGGAAGCTCTCCGTCCTACTAGCCACAAATTAAACGCGGCCCTCCATTAAAACTTCCAGGACTCTAGATAACCGTACATTTTCTGTCTGCTCACGCTGGAAGCCTCCTGCTTTAGGTAACCGCAGCAGAGAACAGATGCTCCCCAACTTTCCGTCTACGTGTCAGGCTGCTCGTGCATCAGCCTCGTGAAACATACAGTGTGCTTCCACAGTCTGCCATTATGAGGACAGAGCCAGGAACAGCAGCAGTTTCATAATTCCGACTTTCAGAAGTCTTGGCTCTGTTGCATTTTGAAGGTTTTGGAAATGAGAAAATGTCCACTTTTTATTTAAACATATTTTATTTTTTACGATCAATTAATAAAGAGTAAAATATTTGATTTGAAGTAGATAAGCTAAATGTGTGTAGCATCCTTTGATGCGTCTTAAAACATTTAAAAAGTTTATCAAAACCAATTTACGTTTTAAGAAAGGTGTAAATCTTCTTACACGTTCTTAATCATAACCAACCATAAACTCACAGATTATGTTCATGTTTCTACCTGAAGCTGTTCTGAGTGTTTTCTGGATCGATTGAGGCTGGTTGCTTGTTTTCAGAGTGAAAATGTGAATGATTTTTACTTCCTGCTTTTAGACTAAGAATGACAGTTAGCTGTTTCTAAATAAACATTTGAAAACACATTGAAACAAATTATTCTTTGAGGTAAAGTAGAGAAACTATAACACAAAAATAAAGTAAAATTTCAAGAGGGAGTGTAGAGTATCGATTTCACCACTCCAGCAGACATCTGGATACTGATACCGTCTTGGTATCAATATCCCGATATAGTGGATCGATCCGCTGCATGTTAGTTTTGGCTCTAACATGCAGCAACATCACACCAACTGTAAGGCGTAGTGGTGAAGTTCACAAAATTCAAGTGATTTCCTTTTATTTACTAAATTATTCTAGTCACAGCTCGATGTGAGGCCATTTCAATATCTAAAAATGTTGTTTCATTCACCTGTAATTGGAAATGCTGAGCTGCACAGCCTCAGGATGAATCGAGACGCATCCCTGTGACTAACCCAGTGGCTGCTGGAACATGTTCAGAGCCTCTCAGCGGCCCTAAACGTGATGAAGCGAGTGAGGGAAATGAAAGGAAGGAGCGCTGGGCTCCATATGGACCGAACAGAACGAGCAGCTTGTGAACAGACAGCGGAGCCGGTCGTAAGCCGGCTGCTTTGAACACCAGCCGTGGAGAGCTTCCAGTCGGCAGCTCGCCGCTCATTGCCAGCTCCCAAATGAAAAACCATCAGTGCCTGTGCTGACCTGCTTTGCTTCTTGTATCTGCACGACAGAGACGGTTTTATTGATTGTATTATTTTAAGATTTCTGTCAATGTAAAGTGCGTTTTATGGGTAGAATTTATTGTTATCAATAGAGATGAGACAGGAAGACACAGGAAGATCATTGAATACGTAACAGAGGATTATTTATAACCGGAATGGATGAGGTTACCACATGCTGTTGTATGATATGCTAATGATATTATAACTTGCCCCAATTATATTGTGTGACTTGTTAATTTCATACACAACAAAAACAGAAAATCTTACCAAGTATTTATTGTCTAGATTCTTGTGCAATGTGTTCACTTGAAATAAGACAAAACTAACTTATAAACAACTTTTCAGCAAGAAATAGGAGCTTTTTTTAATTCATTAATATTGATATTAAATCACTACTGTCATTGGCAGATTAATTCACTTATAACATGGAGAAAAATCTCTTGTTATAGGGTGCTCTGGATTCACCCGCTCTTCCACATCATATGATTTTTTTTTTTTAGTTATGTTCACAAAATCAAGCTTGAATCTGTTCTGCTCCTCCATCTGTCCAGGATGTTCGCTCGCAGAAGGAAGCCAACGTACTGGGACTTCTCTGTCAACTGCACTGGCACCGAGGCCCACCTGTCCAGCTGCAAGCTGGGTCAGATACTAGCCATGAAGTCCAATGAGACGTGCACTGGAGGGATGCCTGTGGTGGTGAGCTGCGTGCCTGGCAGAGCCTTCGCCCCGGCGCCCATGACAGGCTATAGGAAGGCCTTCAGACAAGAGGTAAACATGGAATAAAGTCAGAAGCTTTTTTGGGGTGTCGCAGTAAATTGGGTAAAGTAATTTGCTACTTAAACTTAAGCCGTAGTTGCTTATGAAATCTCTCAGCTCTTCCAGAGATTATAATAAATTAGTGGTACAGTATTATGGATATCATAGATCTGCATGATTAAGAAGACAATTTATAGTAAAAACACAAGAGGATGGTCAGGATTGTCCATAATGTTCTTAATTTTATGTTATATTTAGTTTATATTTAAAATGTGATGCCATTTTTCTTAAAGGATCTACAGACTGTAGGATGTTTAAAATATGAACTACAAAATATATGGAAGTCTGAACCTTCAAAATAAGTAGTTATCATCAAACAGGTTTGATGATAACATTAAACCAAATAAATCCCCCCAGACTGAAGTTGAAAATTGGATGTTGTGCCGCCAGCACTGAGCGTTCATCAACAACTCATAGGCAGAAGTAAGAGGGTTACGCGACACAAATGATCACCTGGCCGGAACGCGGTGCGCCAAATAACAGAACATAATTTAACAAAGCTTCGAGACAGATCATTTGCCTTAGGGAATTTTAATAATTGGTGTGCTTTAATTACCTCGAGAAATCGCTCCAGCCCTAATTTTGAGATTAGTTGTGTAGCAAGCAAAAACAAATCAATCAATCAATCAATCAATCAAATTTTATTTGTATAGCACATTTCAGCAACAAGGCATTTCAAAGTGCTTTACATCATAAACACAAAGTCATGCATCATGGAATAAACAATACATTGTTACATATTACATTTCAAATCCAACTCTAAACAGATGTGTTTTTAGTTGAGATTTAAAAGAAGTCAGGGTTTCTGCTGTTTTACAGTTTTCTAGAAGTTTGTTCCAAATTTTTGGTGCATAGATGCTGAAAGCTGCTTCTCCTCTCTTGGTTCTGGTTCTGGGGATGCAGAGCAGAACCAGAACCAGAACCTGAGAGTCTGGAAGGTTGATACAACAACAGCAGATCTTTGATGTATTGTGGTGCTGAACCGTTCAGTGATTTGAAACTAACAACAGTATTTTAAAATCTATTCTTTGAGCTACAGGGAGCCAGTGGAGGGACTTTAAAACTGGTGTTATGTCTCTTATCTTCCTGGTTTTAGTGAGAACGCGAGCAATTCCGCTTTGTAGACAGTGTTGGCTAAAACAGACGCTAGCATGCTAATCTGCATCATGTAGTCACAAAAGCACTGAAGGCACCTCTTCCATATTTATGACAGCTCTGTTGATGTTTGGTTGAAAAAAGAAATGATGACAGAGACAAAGATGTGCGCTGTTAGAAAACATCAGCTGCCAACAATGCTAAAGTTAGCGTCTGCTTCTTTAGCATCAGAACTTCCTGTGAACTCTGAACGATTCCTTAAGCAGACTGGATCATGTTTGATCCCCTCTAGATGAAAATGTAAATTACTTCGACTGATCGGACTGAACTGGATCATTTAAGCAAAATTAGACACTTTTGAAATCGTTCTTCTATTCTTAAAATAACAAAAATGTCAAAGTCAAGGTAAAATTTCTATGTACACCATATTTCTGACAGCAAAAACTGTCAGTACAAAGATAGGAAAAAAAAGACAAACATCAAACAGTTAGACCAACAAAGTCACAAGACAAAAAAAAAAACCAAAAACATTTGCGACAACTTGTACCAGAAGCCAGATCATAAAAGTGAGTCTTCAGAAGTGATTTAAAAGCTCCAGAGTTTGCACTGGCTTAATATTAGGGTGCAGGTCATTCCAGAGCCACAGCAAAGCCTCTGTCTCCACAAACGTCCTTGTAAAATTCTTTGACATTAGATGAGACATGCAGCGGAACCTCAGTATGTAGACCAGACAAACATGGACTGGATTGCTCTACACCAATTAACTTTTATGATCCCTGACAACTTTATTTGTGAGATCTGTGCTTGATGATTTCTGCTAACCTCATATGGTCTCATTAGCCTACGTGTGTATTGTTTCGTAACGCAGATGTTTTATCACACCGCTCATGATCAAACATCTGGAACCGCTTCGCTGCCTCTAAAACGTCTGCCTGGTTATGGTTCTGAAAGTCGGTAGTAATCTCTTAAAAATAAAAAATAAAAAGCTGCACTTTTATTCCAAGTTAATGTTGGACAGTGTTTTCGCCTTTTCCCTCATGTATTTACCTTCAAAACACTTTCAGCTTGAAACCTTGCTGATTCATTCCGGTGGAGCAGTCAGTCACGTTTCCTGTCCATCCAAACTGAAAACGGGACGGAACGGACAGGGTGGGCACGGCGAAGGCCTCCATGCAGGTCCTGGATCAACCTCGGAGAACGCCACATGTGAGCCAGGCTGGCCTTGCATCACCCACCACTGTGGTCATGTGGATGTTTATTAGTGGGAGAAAATGACTGCCGCCCTGCTGGTTTAACATCTGGTGGAAAACCTGAAACCAAAGGAGAGGAGGAGGAGGAGGAGGGGGAAAGGCCTGTGTCTGTGTAAAAGCCTCCATTTATCTCAGCTATCTTACTAATTCAGCGTTTACATCTGGGTGAGTTTTACTTTGTGTCACTCAGCTGCTCTGACCTCTGACCTCTCCATGGAGAAGAGGGAAGAGTATCCCCCCCATCTGTCCTGAGCATCTTAATACCTTTTCCACGAGCGGCGCCGACATGAATTTCTGTCTGGGTGACCTCACTGGTAGTTGCTGTGCAAAGTTTGAGCGTTGATGCTTCATATCACGTTGCACAGCTGGGAGCTGAGCTGGGAGGCTCTGAACCTCCCGATGTCTGCAGGGCAGCGGTCCTCTGGCGCGGAGCTCCGGCCCCAACCGGGGTGGTTGTGCTACGTTTACAAAAGACAGCTGTTTTTGTTCTTATGGGTTTTCCTTCTGTCTGCCCTGCAGATGGGCAACAAGAGAGCTTCTGCTTCTTACAGCTAGCTTACATGATATCACTGTAACACACTGGCTGCTAAGCCTGTCCAATAAGCAATTAATCAATTAATTGCATGATAAATTAAAATGAGCTTGAACATTTCCATCTTGATGCTAATTTTTTTTTTTTTTTTTTTTTGAAGGTCAGTTTTATTTACAGAGATCTAATAGAATATTTTCTTATGTTTTTGTTCTTGTCTGGTTTTTATTTCCATTTCATTTTATATTTTTGGTTGTTTCACTTCCTGTTGCCCATGTGAAGTGCTCTTTACAAAATTAGTATTAAAATCAAGTTTTATGATGTTTGAGAAAGCAATCTTCCAATTTTGTGCTATGATTGTGTATATTAAAGTACACATCATATTACTTGACTTTTGTATTCAATAGATGACTTGAACACGTTCTCAAAACAGCGACGTTATTATTTATTCTAATAATTGTTGGGACAATTAGTTACCATGACAAACAGGCCGACTGGCTGCATTAATGCTTTCGTTTTAGTGGCTTAATTTTTTTCTTAATTTTTCCTACCGGGTCGGATTTATGATATTAATCGAGTTGTTGTTTTTCTTTTATGAAAGAAAAATTAGAAATGTAAACAGTATTTCCTTTTTTGTGAAACAAGAGGATGCGAAAGGTTGTCCATAATTTTCTTGATTTTATGTGAAAGGAATTTTTTGCTCCATCATCTCCAGAGGTTCCACAGTCGGTCCCCGAACAAAACAGATCAGAACCGGATCAGAACAGAACCAGCCTTCTTTGTTCGCTTGTTGAGCCTGTTTAAGTCTCATCCCTGGTTCTGATGTGGGTTAATTCAAGGTCAGTCTCTGTGACTCCCATGACTCTTAAAATGACTACAGTCATTTTATACATGACTGTAGTTGTCATGTATAAAATGTAACTTTACCTCCTCTAACACGTCCTCTCCTGTCGCTGGGAGTGTTTAAATGTCTCCTCAACTAATTGAACAAATATGACTTAAAGTCTGAATGTTAACAAGTGTTCCTGCTGTACATCTGGAAATTAACAGCTTTACAAGCTAAAGAAGACTGATAGTGGCCTTGTTACACCTTTATTACTTTATAATTGCGGTCCAATGCAGTAAAACTGCAGCTGTGCATTAATGAGGAGGAAACCCACATGTACACAAACTTAATAACATACAATGGAGGATTATTTTCACTAGAAAATGCACAAAGCCAATAAAAACAGCCTGGAGTCTACAACGACACAAAATATAAAGTTTTTCATCCTAAACAAACAGCTCTGCAGCAACCAGAAAATGATGGTTTCTATCACAACTTGTCTTGAAATGATTGCTGAAGATCTCTGAAAATTAAATCTGGACTTTGTGAATTCCCTCTTCCCAAACCACTTCCATCGTTGACTAACTTTCAGTCCAGTGTCCCACGCCTGCAGCTTCAACAGTTGGTGATGTCGGAATGAAAGTAAAAACCTTGCATGGAAAGACTTGTCTGCTTTGACTGTTTTTTTTTCTTTCTCTCTCTCTCTTGTCACTAGGCGGATTCCGTATATGAAGGAGAAGATGCATGCAAAAAATATTCATTTCAGTTCTTTCCTAAATAAGAAAACAACAGCACTTAGCATTCATCAACAGCTCCTTGGTGGAAGAGAAATTGTTGCAGCACAAATAATCACCCGGCTGGAAGAGAGTGAGCTAAATAGTAAAACCTAAGCTATCAAAACCTCTGGACCGATAATTCACCTCGAGAAATTTTAATAATCGAAATCCTCGTTACAACGCCACTCATTAGGATAATCAAAACGTGGGTTTCTCTTTAAAAAGTTTGGTCGTTTCTGCTTTAACGGAGGCTCCTGTGGACGCCGTGTGTTTGTCGTTTTCAGCAGCCGTTGGTTCGCCTCCGTGGTGGAGCCATCGTAGGGGAGGGCAGGGTGGAGATCATGAAGAATGGAGAGTGGGGCACCATATGTGATGACCAGTGGAACCTGCTGTCGGCCACTGTGGTGTGTCGGGAGCTGGGCTTCGGCTCAGCAAAGGAAGCGCTGTCTGGAGGACAACTTGGACAAGGCACGCATCGTGCATGTCGTCTCTGGAGTGTTTGTTTCACATCCATTGATTTATTTCTAAATGTTTTGTCATATAGCTCTTTCATCCCCACTGCTGTTTGATGCACATTCAGATTCACCAGTGATTATGGCCTACAGAAACATGTGGCCAACATGTACAGAGGGGGGGAGAGCAGCCAAACGGCCATGCTAATTAGAAAGCAGACCTGAAGCTAACCCATAATAGATAGCTGAGAATGACGGTTTTTACTGCTGGAACAACTCTTTGTCTATAATTTTCAACATGCCGTCACTTTCCCTGTCGAGTAAAACCACATCTTGGTCAAATTTCACAAACTGATTCTGTGCTTTTATTGTTAAACCTTGTGCAGATTTTCTTAGGGTCATGACCTCTCAGATCTTATGTGGATTAAATTTTATAGCAGTTTTCTAGTTCGTATAGCTATAAAAGACATTAGTGATGCAGCGATTTATTGGCCGATGGGTTTATCAACGCCGGCTTCCTTCATTTTGAAAGATCTGTGATCGGCCGATACTTACATGTGAAGCCGATCTGATCTGCAAAAGTCTAAAACTCAAACCACTGTCCTGCTCTGCTCTGCTGTGAGAGAGGTTTGACTGACAGACATTATTTTCATCCTTTCCATGTTTTGAAATTGAACTAGAATTGAATTTAACTGAAAAAATGTCTTCTTTATTTTAAGAAAATACTTGTAATATTGGACATTTTTTGTGTTGTACTGCTGGTTTGTATTATTTTCAGTAAACCTAATTCATGTTGGGGAACATAACATTAAACATAGTTTGAATAAAACCTCAGATTAGCTTAAAAGAAAGGTAACCATGCCATGCGTTGTCTGAATATCCACTAGAGTTTAGGGGAACCATGTTGAGTTATACATTTGAGTGCATGAAACTATCTCGTCGATAAAATCTTCACTTTCGAATCATACGAATAAGTTTGAAAAACTGATGACGTCCTATGTGCTTGTGCGCCCTTCAGGGATGGGGCCGGTGCACATGAATGAAGTGAAGTGTTCCGGATTTGAGAAGTCCGTAACCGAGTGTCTCTTCAACAAGGAGGCCCTGGGCTGCAGCCACGAAGAAGACGCAGGCGTCCGATGTAACATCCCAGCTATGGGCTTCGAGCAGAGGGTCAGTCTCTCCTCCACTTCGGTACAAATCTGAACCTCTAACAGGGAAACCAGATCCAGTTAAGGATTTAATAGGATGTTGATGAGGGTCTGCTTGCCGAACAGCATGAGACATATTCTGAACCACTAAGCTAAATAATTTATTTTTTGTTTGTTTTTTTTGTATCACAGAATGATTCTCTGATGGCTTTTCTAACTGGTATTGGGGGAATGTTGAAGTTCTTAATACTTTTCAGTGATGTTGCACTAAGCTGGGGGGTTTTTTCTCTTCTAATTTTGAACCTACAGCTGCGTCTGAGAGGAGGCCGGAACCCCTTCGAAGGCCGTGTGGAGGTGCTGATGGAGAGGAACGGCTCTTTGGTGTGGGGCACAGTGTGCAGTGAGGGCTGGGGAACCATGGAGGCCATGGTGGTGTGCAGACAGCTGGGCCTGGGCTTCGCCAGCAGTGCCTTCCAGGTACTGGTGCCTTTAGCAGAACAAGTTTGCATGTGTTCTTAGAAAGAGAAAACCTCAAGTCAACTCGCATGGATCTGACATCCTGTTTCATGAGAATGTGTGGTCTTAAAATCGCAAGTCTTTAATTTGTTTTTCTACAATTAAGGCATTAAAAGGTTTTAAAATGTAATTTGGCTTTAAATGCCTTAATTACGAGCCTCAAATGTTCTTGTGGAAGGACTATTTCATCTTGTATATTAACATCTTTTGTTGTGGGTATAGTGCTTTTTTTTTCTCAGGATTTTTCTGTCAAGCAAACGTTTTAACTGCGAGCAGAGGTCCTCACTGCGTCCTCACTGTGTCTTCACTGTGTCCTCACTGCGTCCTCACTGTGTCCTCACTCCGTTTTGTGACTCGAGGTGGTTGAGGCTAATAATAGCTGCTAACATAACCTTGCTACGTAGCTAGATTTTTTTTTTTTTTTTTTTTTTTTGCATCTTTCACGGTTAAGTGCAGCTTTATCAGCAGTTGCTTGGACAACCTTTGTCTTTGCCGTTGGCTAACCCATGTGATGCTACATGCATTCCTTGCTAAACAGCTTGGTCTTAGAATTATGTATCTTTTAAGGTCAGTAAAATATATTCCTTATATAAAATGGGAGATGCTTTCATACCGAATCAGGGAAAAAAATCCTCTTAAGTCTTCAGTCATCAAAACTCAAAAATCGTCACAGTAAAGAAATTTTATTTCTGAGGTTTTAAAAATCTTTCCATTCAGAATAAACCTTTCCACTTAAAAACTGCATTTTGTGTTTACATGTTTGGTCTTTGACTAATAGCTAAATTATTTTGATATTCTGGAACACTTCAATGTGAAAAACATACAAAATAAAAGGGAAGAGGGGCGAACACTTATTCCCAGCACTGTAACATCCTCCATCTTAATTAAATCATCATGTTAACACGGTAAAATTTCAGTGTCAGTGACCTGTTTGTTTTTGGCAAGCCTGACAGGAGTAAGTGATAAAAAACAAAATTCGGGCTGCTGGCATGAAGTGAGTGTCTCATAACATCGTTTACAGTCGGAAATGTGGCGGTTAGCTCCAACAGCTTTTCAAAGTGTCTGCAGAGCAGTGGAATGAGAGGAAACCGAGAGGACGCCTCCAGACAAGCCTGACCGGGCCTGGCAGCAGAAACAGAACGGATGTGCTTACAGTGCTTCTGTTATTATAAGTCTTGAAATAGGAACATCATTTTTTGAGTGTGAAAACTTTCATACGGAAATGTATTTGACCTAATAGGAAATCCTACTGAGATTTCCTAGTACAAGAATTTGTAGATGTTGCTTTCGAACATAAGTCGACATTTTTCAAGTGACTGAAAATTTTAAAATTTGACTTTTAAGTAGACAGATAAAAAAAAAGTCTGAAAAATCTTTCAAAGTTCAGCTTATAAAATTCCAAAAAGAATTCTGTCCTAAAAGTCACTGAAATTTCTGTTTGTTTTTAAAGTGGCAACATCATTTTTAACACAATTTTGAGCTTTATAACATGTGATAATGTTATTTACTCATCAAAAATATACCTGGTGTGTTGCCTTGACTCTTTCAAACACGCATGAAAACCATGCAGCTTTGCAGAACACCTGGCTGGAACCAAGTGCCGCATTTGAAGATGAAGCTCCTCCTTGGAGCTCCTTCAGACTAGCCGGCAGCAATTAGTGAACATCTGCTGAACTCATTTTGGGAGCTGCTTCTCAGAGCAATGCTGTCAAAAACATTGTTGAAGGGTTAATATAGGAGCCATGTTGTGATGACTTCCTGATGGTGGAATGTCAGAAAGAGCAGGACCTTTTTTAAAGAGACAGAGGCCCAATTTCAAGGCGTTAAATTACAAAGTCAAATTTCTTAAAAATCATATCTGATACTTAGCATTTTATTACAAATGAAGGTAACGTAGTTACTTGATAACGTCATTTTATTGCACAGTGTGCCTGAAAAATACATAATACTGTCCCTTTAAATATTTGCTCGTTTTTATTTTTAGTCCCATCACAGTGACGTGGAACATATGTAGGAATTTCAGCAACTTTTACAATGTTCTGTAATTGAAGGGGTCTATTGTGTCAGTTCTACTCATGAAACTTCTTTTTGTTTATTGTTTTTTTCTGTTCTTTAGAAAAATAATTTTGCCTCTGAATGCTTGTGTGTCCACAGGAGACGTGGTATTGGCCGGGTGAGGTCAGTGCTGACGGTGTGGTGATGAGCGGCGTTCGCTGCTCCGGAACTGAGATGTCTCTGTCCCACTGTCAGCACCACGGACCCCACCTCAGCTGCCCCAGAGGAGGGGGGCGCAACTCCGCCGGAGTCTCCTGCTCTGAAAGTAAGACTCTGGGAAAGGCTAGTCAAGAGCCTCACTTCTGCTCAGCATCAAGCAACACATTACAAATGTGTCATAAATTGTATTTCAGTTTGTGAATTTGAACATGTATTTTATGTGACAGAATAGAGTGGGCGATATGGACTCAGACTTTTATTGTGATATTTTGTCGTATTAATAGTCATATGTGGTTTCCAGAGGTTTCTGGGGTTTTTTGGGCCAATAAAACCCTGATTTATTCCACAGTCTCCTCTAACATGGAGCAAAAGTTTTCCTTGGCTTGGAAAAGCCCAAAGTCCAGTCGGTTCTTCTGTTTCTTTGTGTCAAAACTTGTTGTCAACATTTGAAGCATACACTGTTTCAACCGCATAGTAGTTTAAGGGGGACGAATAGTTTTGCAAAGAGATGTAAACTGACTCCAAACTTTTATTTTTCAGTCTTAAAAGTCCAACAAAGTCCAACAAAGTTTACCAAATTAGTGTTAAACTGTTAAAGAACCTTTGTGAGAGAGAAATCCCTGGTTCTTTCTTGGAATCTGTTGTTTGGAACAGAAAACACTTGTTTACTTTGCGTGCAGCCATCGCTCTGTGTTTCTAAATATCTTTGTTTTTTCTTCTTCTTGTTTTTCCTTCCCACCTTCAGCGGCTCCCGACCTGGTACTGAACCCTCAGGTGGTGGAGCAGACCACCTACATGGAGGACCGGCCCATGTTCATGCTGCAGTGTGCATACGAGGAGAACTGCCTGGCCTCCAACTCTGACCAGACGCCGGCCAACGCGTACCGCCGCCTGCTGCGCTTCTCCTCTCAGATCCACAACAACGGCCAGTCCGACTTCAAGCCCAAAGCCGCCAAACACCTGTGGGTGTGGCACGACTGTCACAGGTCTGTCAGGATGGAAATGTTTCTTGAAACAAAGCATGCTGGGATGGGCATTTATTGCGTTGTTTATCATCTATTGTGAAAAAAGTCTTATGATAAGAATTTTGATCCATTGTTGTGATGATAGATTTCAGCTATTGATGATAAAAATGTGTGTGTGTGTGTGTGTGTGTGTGTGTGTGTGTGTGTGTGTGTGTGTGTGTGTGTGTGTGTGTGTGTGTGTGTGTGTGTGTGTGTGTAGGCATTATCACAGCATGGAGGTGTTCACCACATATGACCTGTTCAGCCTCAATGGAACCAAAGTGGCAGAGGGACACAAAGCAAGTTTCTGCCTGGAGGACTCAGAGTGTGATGAAGGTTGGAATCTCACTGCTGCTGTTTTTAATGATGATGTAATAACAAAAAAACTTTTTCAAAATGTTATCATTTCAAATATTCTTCATTTGAAGTCTTAGATATTTTTTACTTAGATGTTGCCTCAAGTGAGTATGAAAGCTAAAGGTCTTTCCATAGTTTGTTTCTGTAATTATGTTCTGCTTTTAATGGTTTTCACTGTTATTGTTATTATTATTATTGTCCTGGGTAATCTGTGCTTACTGTACAGCACTTTGGGTAAACATGCTGGGGGGTTTTAATTGTGCTTTATCAGAAATAACTGAATGGAAAAGATGTACCAAAGATGTGCTGTGACAGCTCTGCCACTAGGGGGCAGAACTTGTGGGCTGGGTCAACCTGTTGACTCCAGGCAGAACGACTGCGAATACTTCACCGCATCAGCATGTGCCCCCTATTGGTCAAAATGAGACAGCATGGTCTAAATTGGAGTCAGTGTCTGATGCTGCCTCGATACAATATGACAATATTTCACTCACTCAAGTCATTCATTTCCACTCTGCCTCCCACTTCCCTGGCCTTGATACCTTCAGCTTTTATATATCTAGAGACCTATGTGCAAAAGCTAACAGAGAGTATAAAAACTGAAATGATACTGAATTAGAGGCTATATGATTTAATATTGTAAGTAGATGTTGTCCCAAAGTCCTACTGTCTTAGTTTTGTATGAATAAGTCTAAGACTAAACCAGCTGTTCTGCAAAGCAACATCATATCATTTCTTAGCTTGTCTGTCCAGATGTCCAGGCACCAAAAACCTACAGAATGCATTTATTTGTTTCTCTGTGGTTTTTTTGCAACAAACGTCTCAGAAATTACATTTACTGTTATTCAAGACACATAGTATCCTTTTTCCCAAAGGGGAGAATATCTGGTTGTCTTGAGTATGTCTATGAAGTGAAGATGCAAATGATCACTCCTTCTTGTGTCACCCTCTAGTGGTCATATACTGTGGCTCATCTTGTGCAAATGTGTCATTTTCTCCAAGGCATCTTACAGCGTCTTACTTTGTCTTTGTAGGTATTGAAAAGAAGTATGAATGTGCTAACTTTGGAGAGCAGGGCATCACTGTAGGCTGCTGGGATACCTACAGGCACGACATTGACTGCCAGTGGGTCGACATCACCGACGTCAAACCTGGGGATTACATTTTTCAGGTGATTTGTCCTGTTGGTTTCTTCTTTCTGTCCATGACTTCTCTCTGCAGCCTCAACGCTGGTTTCATTCTTATCCATTCTTTAACAGATTGTAATCAACCCAAATTACGAAGTGCCAGAATCAGACTACACCAATAACATCACCAAATGCAGATGTCGATATGACGGTCATCGTGTGTGGATGTACAGCTGCCATAATGGTGAGTGGCTGCAGATTTTACGATCTTTGGGGGGTCTTGTTATTTTTTTCACCAAAACAATCACTTTAGTCTTTTCTGGATTTGATGAGACGTTCAAAGAGGGTGACCCAAAGATTAGCTTATTTTAATTTCTTTTAGATTTCATATTTCTTAGAATTAACTACTTCGCAGCAACATTCTTTCCTTGGAGCTGAAGACTTCGCCAAACTTCTTTGCTATTAATACCTTATAATCAATTTACTCTGGAAGTTTTTGATATAATTTATTATGCAGTATTTGCTCAATTCTCTTTCTGCTGCTCTGCCTCCAGACGGCTCATTGAGCTCTGAGACGGAGATGATGTTCCCAGGCCTCCTAAACAATCAGGTGACCCACAGGTAAGACTGACAGAGTGGAGTCGAGATGTGGTCCCCTCCGATGAGAAGAGTCCCACCAACCACTACCCATTCCACTACCCATTCCATCTGGGCTGGATTCTACTTCCTGTCCCTGAATCAATCATCTCTTCTTCTCCTCACCTTTCTTCCTCTGCCCTCCTCTCACCTCCCAGCACATATTATGTGTTGACCTCTTCTGTCCATCACTCTCCGTGATGATCACGGGACTGGTGAAGTTTTGTTTGGGTCTGTGGCAGAGAGACTATTTCACTTACTGTGATCAAATAAGAGCTTCATTTAAACATCTCTCCATGGACGTGTAGCACTTTAAGAAGCTCTCAACTGCCGAACCTTGTGGATTTTGTTTGTCTAGCTGGAAGATTGTCTTCAATGGAGAACTACTTTTTGTTTTCTTCTAACTTGATCAACTTTTTAATGTTTGACGTCCAGTCTTTAGAAAACAAGAAGTCTACTCATCACTAGTGATGCTTGAACTGCCACATTCTATCAGGACATAAGGGCCGGTTCTGAAACATTGGCAGTATTTGCTTTATCTTCTCCTTGCCAGACTTAGTAAATTATCCTATACCCATTTTTCAAAGAGTTGCCGAGGTGAGGGGTCGGGGGTGGGTTTGTTAGAAAAGTGTGTTAGAAGTATTGTAACTGTTTCAAAAAGTGAATCGTCATTTCATTGTATAATTCAGCTGGAGTGAGTGGTTGTTGATGCCGAACTTGCATATAAACCAGTGTGTCATTCATTCACTGCCACCTGCTGGTTAACCCATGTATGCACTTCAGTTAAGAACTAAATACGGCACTAATATACATGTATTGTTGCATAGGAAATCCTTGCTTTTCCATTGGTATAAAAGTGCCAGAGGTGTGAGAACTGAGGTCCCTGATTCCCTTCTATCAAAAAACTCTTGTTATTTGTGCTTATTTGTCACTTCATGTTCAATGATCTTGAAGAACTTCAAAGTCAAAGTCATCATTCATCATTTGTTGTAAATTCTCTCCAAAGCAGATTGTGACTGAATGTAAGATGAACATGAGTTCAGTCACAGGTCATTCTTGAAAAACTTTGATAAAAGGTTCAGAAAAAGGCGTGGCTTTGGAGCATGTCAGAGCTCAGGGATGTCAGCTGGCTTCAGCGACCTGACTGAAGCTAAACTTAGTGGGAACAAGTTAAACGTGTCATTTGTTTTACCTTTGCAGACCAAGAAACAAAGTTCTCCATCTTTCTGAGTGAGATTTTCCTCACAAGTCAGAAACTATTTGGATTTGCCAGTAGTTATGAATCAAAGCAATACAAGAACGTATTTCTATTCTACGTGCCCCTTGTTTTTACTGCAGGAAACAAAACTAACTGATTGCAAATGAGCTTTCTGGGTGCCTTCACACCAGCCTTGTTTGGTCCACATTAATTGAACTGGTCAGAACCAAACCTCCCTCTCAGTTCGGTTGAGGTGAACTCTGGTGCGGTTCAAATTCATATGTGAACACCAGGCGCTCGGGAGACCGCTCCAAATGCAGGAAGTGGACTACAGCGCAGGGCATTCTGGGTAAATACAACCAAAACAACAAATTAGTCAAGTTAGAGAAATGGCTCATGGTCTTTTATTAAAGACAAAAGAGGTTTTCATATTTCCTTCAGTGGTTTTGGTGCACCACCACCACAGGCCAGGAGGGGAACAAGTTGCTCAAATTGTTTGGTTGGTTTTGCAGTGTGAATCTGCACCAACAGCATGGAGCTATGTGGGAACAGACAGAAGAAATCAGAAATGCATTTTTACTTCTGATGGAACAGTTTGTTTCTAAATCTGTCAACTATATTGGATCTTGAGGTCATGGTTGTTCTGGCACTTTTGAAGTTGGAATTCCAGATTTATGGAGGAGCAAAGCTAGTTTTTCTAACTCGGAACACACGTGAAATAGCTTCACATTGACAAATCCAGATGGCTTCCTACTTAAATACCTAAACTCATTTGTTGGCTCACAACAAAGCACTTGTAATAATCAAGCAATGAGTGGAACTAACTCAGTGCATAGCTTGAATTCAGTATAAACCTGCAACAAACTGGCATGACGATCAGGCCAGTGTGAAACCTGTGGAACATTCTTTGTGGGTCTCTTTCACCGTCCAAATGTTCCTCCAGCAGCAGCACAGGTTTTCTCCCCGTCGATGGCACAGGTACCATTTTTGGCATTTTTATTTTACTTAATTTTATTTCTTGTTTGTAATTGTATTTTAAGGGATGTGAATTCAGTTTATTTGTGCTTTTTTTCGTCATGGTGCTATCTAACTGGTCCTCTGTTTTCTGAGGGTTCAGTTCATGTTGAATAGATGCATTATGTGTATACTAACAGTATACTTGAATTGAAACAATGTGCTTTTGTGTGTTGACCTATAATAAAGAGTTAAGCAACTGAATCAGTGAGCCACTGAATGTTCTTTGTGTGTTTATTGCAAAAACAATTAATTTTGTCAAATTGCAACAACAAACTTCAAAGCAATTTATTGGCATTTTATGTAGACCGCTGCAATGTTGCATATAACAGGGAAGTAAAATGAAAATGATTTTTTTCTAATAATAATAGGAAAAGTGACGCACCTTTAAAAAGGCAGTATTATGTAAAACTTGGTGTTGCTCTGATTCTTTCAGGCATGTTTGAAAAATCCTTTAATCTCCCACGGCAACCATTTAGCTGTGCAAAACATCTGGGGAGACTGAGCTCCGCCTTCAATGTCGAAGCTCCTCCTCTTTTCCAACAGCCCGCCTCGCAGAGCAGCTCTACCCCTGCGGCTCCCTCACTCGGCTCCTTCAGACTAGCCAGCAGCAATTAGCAAACAGAACATCAGCTGAACTCATTATTGGAACTTCTTCTCAGGGCAACACTGGTAAAAATGTTGTTTAATGTGTTAAGAGGGAAGCCATGGGACGACTCCCTGAAGGCGGAGTTTCAGAAAGACGAGTTTCTTAAAGAGAAAACTCTTTCAATGAGTTAAATTAAGTAGTCAAATTTCTTTTTGAGACAAGTTTGATGTATATGTGGTGTTCCAGACACAGAAATGAATGAACCTCTAGTTTTCAGATTCTTATGTTATTATGCTCCTGGGTGGTGGAGGCTGTGGTTTGGTTGCAGATTTTAAGATAAAGAAATATAGCAAATCACCACTGGTGGGCGCTCTTGCTGCGCACAAGAAATGTGAGCTGTTCCTGTTCATTCAGAGAAGGAGATATTCTTTGATTAAAATAAACATAGCCAGGTGCTGCTTCCAATTATCTGCTTAAATATTGTTTTATTCAACTAGTGTGTATAATACACAACAGTATAGAGCATTTTTATAACAACCAGGAGTAACATAATTACTTGATTGTGCTATAAAATGGTGATTTGTGTGTGGAAAACATAATACTGCCCCTTTAAAGCTGTAATTACTTTACAAAAGGCCTTCTATAAAGCACTGCTTCAGGGAGACAGAACATAAAAATAAGAAAAGCCTTTTACATTCTCCTTCAACAATACAATCATTCATCATTTTTGCTTTGGTGTAAGAACCTAATAAATCACATTGAAGTTTGAAGCACAACATGACAAAACAGGAAAAGGTCCAGGGAGGATGAATAGGTTTTCAAGCCTGTCTTTGTATTTTTGTTCGATTAATTATGCTGTATTTGAAAAGAATTGCATGAAACCTGCATACAGGATTCAGTGTATTGATGGATTTATACTCAGCACATTTCTGAGAACTGTGATGTTTTTTTTCTCCAGAAGGCTTTACTTTTGTTCTTCAAGTTGATGGAAAATTTTCCTCAAAGTAAGGCTGGAAGTTTTCACCAGCATTCAAAGTCTTGACACTTGAGGAAGTGTTTAAATGTCTCCCAAAATCAAACTTCATCCCATGAGACAGATGAGCTTTGGATCCAGCAGAGATACGATCAGATCAGATAAAATAATACTTTATTCATCTTATGGGAAATTCCAGACGCAAGTGGCATCCATAAAACTTACACATACACATGATCGTGTGACTAAAAATACACGTTATAACAATACAATACAAATACAAGCTCACCAAAAGGGAGGAAAAAACAGTATGATGGCAACTCAACACTGGCCTCTCGTGGCTCACAGGAGTCATTACATGTTTTGACTCAAATCCAACAACACAATGAAAGTGACTGGAGTTTGCTGCTGGCGGATTCTTTCCAAACAGTCATTGGTTCATGTTTGCAGGGAAAACTATCGATTATCCACAGGCTGATAATCAGTGACATGTTTTAGTCACTTCTCAAGCCACAAACAAAAATGCCTCTGTGTCTGAACACTGACCCTCATCTCACCTATAGATCATTTATAACGTATCTTAATGCTGCAGTATTTATAAAAAAAAATAATTTCATAAAAATGAAACACTGCAGCTTTACAAGCAGGCATTTTATTGGTGCTCGTATTAATGCTGCGCAGCTGACAGCTGGTTTTAAAATGCTTTATAAATAAAGCTGACATTGACATGAAGAGGCGTTTTGTTCTCTCTGCTGTCGCAACATGCTTTCTCAGAATGAAGGCCCGCTGCAAATCCAACAATGCTGCACAACAACAACACAATGAAAGTGATTGACCGCACGGGGCGCCCCCTGCTGGTCCAGAAGCAGGAGGTCAATCTGCTGGGTTTCTTTAGACAAGAACTTCCTAAACTGATTTAATAATAAACGGAACTCACTGCATAGATTGAGGATCAACTGGAAAATATGTATGATTAAATTTAAACTATTTATTTATTGGTGAAGTTCCTTGTGATGTTATTTGGAGTGAAGTTTCTAAACTGTATCAAATCGAATTGAATTTAAAATCACTCCAGCAACCCGGAGTCTCACTGACTTCACTTCACCACAAAGTGAAGGGAGTTAAACCCAAAAGAACAAGTTTGGTCCCGGGAGAAACGCAGCTTCAAATAAAGCGACACAGTGTGAGAAAATGTCCAGGAGATGGAAAACTATTTTAAGAGAAAATTAGAAATAAAAGAAAAATTCTCTCCATCATCATTTTTATCTATTGGAAACAATTTCACTAATCATCAAATGTAAACAGTTGCAAAAGATGTTTGTTCCAGTGGAGCTAAACCACCGAAGTTAATAACAGCTTAGCATCGATCCTGCCAACTGCTGCCCACAAGAAAACACAAAGACAACAGTGTTCACCCACCAGCAACTCCTGACCAGTAATCCTCAGGGACTGGGACTTTAAAAGCTATTAGTGGAAAAGAAAGAAAGCAAAACAAGAGACAGCACTCCAGAGATACAGGATATAACTATGTTATTATAAGCTGGGCTGAAGAGCTGTCCAGGGTGACCCCGCCTGTCCAGGGTGACCCCGCCTCTCGCCTGCTGACCGCTGCAGACTGGCACCTGTGTGTGTGTTTTCAGAAACTGAAGGTCTGACGGATCTTTTTCTAACTCGCTTAGAAAGTTTGTTGAATGAAACAATCAACAAATTCACTCAACAAACTCGCCGAGCTAGTTAGAAAAAGATCTGTCAGACCGTCAGTTTCCGAAACAACACACACAAAAAAAACCTCATAAATGCAAACAGGATCGCAGAGTCCAATTGTCTCTGTCTCTTCAAAAAGCAGCTGTGGCCCAGTCATCTGGTAAAAGCCAGGTCCAGCTTCCCATGGGAAGATTGTCAGTATGTCATAATTCTAAATTGCCTTCTGATCTGTGAGTTGGTGTTCAAACAAGTGAAGGTCTGAGTTCTGCAGGCTAAATGAGGCCAAATTAAACAGTTTATATGACCAGGAAAACTAAAGGCTCAGACCAGTAACGGAGAAAACACAGTGTTGGTAGTTTAGAGCGGTCTGGACTGTTAAAACTCGAGTTGGCAGAGCGGCTTCACCAGATTCCAGTCACAACCTCTGGGAATGGCAGTACACAGGAGCAAAGTCCAAGGAACAGTTGGCGGAAACCATATCGAGTCCTCAGTCTCCCACACGTCTCAAGACGACCCAATCTTCAACCCAGAATGGATGCTTGGACTGAAAGTTTGCCTCGCAGCGTAGAAACTCATCCAGTTTTGTTTTGACGACTGGGCAAACATTCTGGACGCTTTGATAAGCCAAATATGCACAGACATACAGTATGCATATGTAAAGCTGCGTCCCTGGCTGTTTGACAAGGGGGCAGTGTTGTAGTCAAGACCACCTAACCCAAGACCCAGACAAGACCAAGACTTTTAGGATCCGAGACCAAGTCAAGACCAAGACCGAGGGAAGTCGAGCGCAGAGGATGAACAATATAAAGTTGTGTTAATGTACTTATAATCTAAGTACAGCAGTAGGAATGTTTGCCTGTAGAGGAAAAAAATAAAAATCAAGAATTTCTGCATTCTCAATACTGTTAGGTGTTGAATTCACTGTGGCGCTTGGCAAACATGAAGGAAGCCTTGATCCAAATGTTGAGCTTCACTTTAATATGAGTAAATTATCGTTGGGGAAAATTATAAACTAAAACCTACACTTTTTTTCCACGGACTCAACAAACTGAGCAAAGCACAGCGTCACATATTAACATGATTTATTAGCATATCATCTAGAATATAAATACACTTGAATTTCATTTGGCAAAATAAAAAAAAGAAACTTAAAGGTTCATTAGTGGGCGCAACATAATCTACAGAATCAAAACAGGTCAAACTATTATTTACAGAAGACATCAAGGCTTTCCACCTGATTCACAGTCGAACCTGGATATCTGAACATGAAGAGGCTTTACCTTTAAAAGACGAGCGAAGCCCGACGTCAGCAGCTTCCAGCTCCCACTGTGAGACGGGAGGATTAATTAACGCCAAACTTTACTATCAGGTTCAGCGAAAAGGAACCCAACACTGATCGGGCTTTTCCTGGCCCAAACCGATTCCTAGAACTCAAAACCAAAATGTGCTGCAGGTTCTGATGGCACACTGGAGCATCCGTCTTTAACCATTATTAGATTTATGAATCGCTGATTGGATGGTTTGAGTTTCTAAGTTATTTGAAGCACGACTGTTGCATCTCTTCAAAAAAAAAAATCGTTAAAAAACACAATACACATTTTCAATTTGGACCTGCCAGAATGTCAACCCAGAACTTCAGTGAAGTTTGTGCTTTTGTAACGTGCTAACGCCAACCATGTGTTAACGGAAAACTATTCTAATTCTGGACACTGTCAGCCGTCAAGAGCACTTTCAATACCTCTGTCGAAGGCAATATTGGAATATATGAACATATTACTAATAAAAATAAACAGCAGTCAAATATTATGCATAGCACACATTCACAGCACCTACAGTATGATACACAAGTTAAATCAATGCGTACAAATCAAATATTTACAAGGATGAAAATTTGCTGCTGGACACTGGAGCTTTAACTAAACAGTGATGTTTATGAAACAGGCAAATAAGGTGCAAAAAAATAAAAAAAATGGGTGCTAAATGAGCAAACACCTTTTAGAAAACAACAAATTGTGAGGTAAAACCTCCCAATAACTAATGATCTCATACGCTACAGGCGAGCTCTGGAAAACATCACAAAACAAGTGACTTATTCTGTCACTTATTTTGAAACAGGGTCACCCCATTCCAAACGGGGGAGGAAAAAAAACAAAGAAAATGAGGGTATTTCTCCAAAAACACTAACGTTCAAACAGCTGTTAGTTCAGCATAACAACACTGGTTCAATTCTGAGTTCAACTCTTATTTCATCATATTTAAACACATTAAAAGTCAAATGTCGCTACAACGTTTCTTCAAAGGGATTCTCTGAAAGACACCTGCTCTTGTACCAGGTGGGGGGGACAGATTGTTAAGACGCAGCGTTAAGGTCGAAGGTCGTGGAGGTCTCCAGGGCGGCTGGTTCTGCTGCTCCGCCTCTGCACAAACAAAAGCAGAAATCATTAAGATGACCTGATGCTGACTGGAAAGAAAAAGAGGAGCATTGATGGCAATCAGCTGAATGATCAGCTGAATAATCAGCTGAACGATCAGCTGAATGATCAGCTGAATGATCAGCTGAACGATCAGCTGAATGATCAGCTGAATGATCAGCTGAACCATCAGCTGAATGATCAGCTGAATGATCAGCTGAATGATCAGCTGAACCATCAGCTGAATGATCAGCTGAATGATCAGCTGAATGATCAGCTGAACCATCAGCTGAATGATCAGCTGAATGATCAGCTGAACGATCAGCTGAATGATCAGCTGAACGATCAGCTGAATGATCAGCTGAACGATCAGCTGAACGATCAGCTGAACGAAAAATAAAAAAGTGGATTTTGATCCAAACTTCCCTTCTGTGAGTTTTATAAAGGACTATTAGGGCTCACCTATAAGAATTTCTGCTTAATTACAAGAATTTAGTCACGATAAAGACTTTTATTCTGACAGTATCAGAATAAAAGTCAAATTTTAACCAGGAAAAAAAATAAAATAAAATTGCCAAAGAATTCTGGATGTTTAACATCTTAACGACAGAGTCCCCTTCTCAAAGAGCTGAACCCCCTGAACCAGACGCTTTCCTCAACATGTCGTTTCTAGGCGCTCAGAGCGTGAAGACGAATGTCAATTTGACTTCATTCTAGTTCTTTCCACTTTGCATCAAACCTCTCTTCACACCAGTAAGCAGCAGTCAGTTGTGCTTTAGTCATTTCCCAAACATTGATCCTTTATCTATTGGTAATTGGTAACGTTTTATAGTGTACCCTCGGTTCCTCGTTCCGCCATATAAACCTAGAGACGGTTCGGTTCCACTCATTAAACTGTTTAAGGGAGAGCGTTGAGCCTTACTCCTCGTTTCTAGGAAACAGTTAAAAAATAAATAAAATTGATCACGCGATTAAGTAGTTAGGAAGAGGTGATTTGATAAAGTTTGTGTGAAGCGGTTAGACTTTGATGTCTTACTATAAATGGTATAGAATTGGGTTTAGGTCAAACAAATGATGCGACCAGACTTCTGTATGAGCCGAACAGAACCTCAGAGCAGAACCCCAGAGCAGAACCACAGAGCAGAACCACAGAGCAGAACCCCAGAGCAGAACCTCAGAGCAGAACCTCAGAGCAGAACCTCAGAGCAGAACCCCAGAGCAGAACCTCAGAGCAGAACCTCAGAGCAGAACCCCAGAGCAGAACCTCAGAGCAGAACCTCAGAGCAGAACCCCAGAGCAGAACCTCAGAGCAGAACCCCAGAGCAGAACCTCAGAGCAGAACCCCAGAGCAGAACCCCAGAGCAGAACCCCAGAGCAGAACCTCAGAGCGACCCAGAGACGTCACACTGCTGCGTTCTGTTTACTGAAGTGATAACAGACAACGGAGCCCTTTAAGGATTTATTTGAAAAGTTAATTCAGCAATGGTGACAAAATCGGAAGGAAATTGATTAAAAGGAAGCAGAGCTAAAAGCAACGGCCCTCTGTAGAGCCCTGAGGTCAAAGCATGTACAGAAATCTGTCTGGATGCATAATGGGATCATTTTAATCCTGCTGTTATTGAATAGACACCAGGCCTTTTAAACTGGAGACACTTAGCAGCATCTACCTCCAAGTATTTCAATTCAACTTTCACTTCTTTCAACAATTTCAATTTTATTGTAACAATTTTCAAAAGGACTCTGAGATATTCACATGGTCTCTGCCAGTTTCCCCAACTCAAATTTGATGAAGCTTCAATCTCATGTGTAGTTTTAAAGACTATGAAAGTTGAAAACCTGTACTGTGAAAGAAATGACTGAGTCGGCAATAAATTCACATTTAACCAGAACGGACATAAAAAAAATTTAAAAAAGCTAGCTGGCTGCCAAGGGTACATTAGCGGCTAGCGGCCGGTGTCCACAGAAGCCTCGACATCAGCGGTTGACTGACTTTAGCTTGACTGAAAAAATAACTACATGGAATATATGAGAAGAAAATTTATTACTAAGATTAACATATTTAGAGTCATTTTTCAGGTCAGAATCCATTTATTTGAAGATATTTTGAGGAGCAGGTGATATTTTAGCAATGTTCTATATCACTGGTGTAAAGCAACGAAAGGAAGAGGCTGTCACCTCTGCTGGTCCAGAGCAGATTCACATGTTACTGTAGTAACATGTGAATCAGCCTTAATGTGACCACACAAGTGGAAGCATTGAAGTACATGCATCAGGATGTTTGAAAGAGAAGTGCTGACTCCTTATTGAAATGATTTACAGCCCTGCATAATAACAGCAATTAAAAAAAAGAAAGAAAGAAAAAAAAAAACTGGTGAAAATGATCCCGTTTTGGCCTGTGAAAACTGAACATGACAGCTAAAGAAAAGCTCCATTTTCAGGGAATGAAAAAAGGAACACGGTGCTAATGACGAACATCTCTTCTGCACTCGCCCCGTCCAACAGTCTGCACAGACTCCATTTTTACAGGTTGTGCACCGAGCCATGCGAGAGTGCGGCGACGGCAGAATGTGTTCGGAAACAGACGCCGGAACACGGACTTGGCGCCGTCGGCCTCCGACAGCCCGGGACGGTATAGGGCCAAGCCCGTTTTCCCTCCCACCGGGGACTGATCCATCACCGCCGCTCAACTTTTCACCTGGCAGACGGTCAGAAAGCAGAATTCCTGCTTTAAGCCTGCTAGACCTTCAACGCGAGGGAGACGAAGGTTTTATGTGTTCTGGAGGAGCTCAAGTTCAATAAGGAGCCCGTTGATTAAAGCTGAACATTCCATAGATCAGAGCTGTGGACCAGAGTGGCGATTCTTCATTTTCAGCAGGGATATATCAGGCCCAGTTTGGAGGAGAGACCCTGGCAGGAAATAGAAACTCTGAGATGGATGTTCTGCAGGTCCCCGCAGTCGGATCTCTGGCTATGGTTCACCCTGCTTTTGACCGTGGTAAATATCCCATGCACACTTCTATCAACAGCTACTTATAAAAGTCCTGGCTTTACATTCCTCCAAAGGACTTGCATGTGAGATGAGGCTCTCAGCGAGGAATTTCAGATGAGCAGAGAAATCCTTTTGGTAGTTAGCCAACAGCACAGCGATCCACAGGGGTCTGTGGTCACACAGACGTTGCCAGACACAATATACCTCCTGTAACGTATTTACTGAGAAAGTCTCGCTCCTGACTGATGGTGGTGTCTCTACTGTAGAGCTTCCGCCTTACCCCGTCCTGCCTCTAACACAACAGAACCTTTGAGGACGATCTGGAGTCAGGAGGTCCTAGATGAGCCGGGCTTTCAGAAAGATTGATGAGATGAGCAGTGTGGAAGATCTGTAGGTATTTGGAGCACCATCTGTGGCTGACGATCGTGCTGTGCTGCCTCAAGAGGGAGGAGCATCAGAAATACTCCACAGCAAAACGAGGTGGAGACGGTTGAGATGCTGGAAACCTTATTTCTGAAATCAGTACTAACTGTACCTTCATAAGATGTACTTTGGGATAAATTTGACCGTTAGATGGTAGCAAAAGGCTTCCAATACAATCGTCTGTATGTGTTGAATATGCAGCAACTGGCAACAGTGGGAAGCATAGCAACATTAAGCCCAGATGCAAATTGAAGAAACAGTCTACACAGAGTTGAGGAACTTTTGAAGTAATTACTCTGAGTTTCATTTGGACTCACTAGAGTGCAAGAAGATTTTGACATGTGAAAACATCAGTGTTTCTCGTTGAGGTTGACTGTGGAATGAAGAGCTACCAGCCGCTTGTGGTCAGCATTGCTTCATCTGACCAAGTTCTTGAAGAAGAGGCGCCGAATATTCTTAAATTATTTGTTTTGCTTCATTTTGGGTTTCCAGTAGGAACGATAAATGAGTGATGGACAAGACACAAACAACAGGTAAGGATGGAGGCAAGAGACATCGCTATAGCCACCAACAGCAGGAGGTCCAGGTTACGTCACAATCGGAGTTCACCCTGTCAGTAGACAGAGATGGCACAGTTACCTTGAAAAAGTAACCTAATTACTTTAACGATTACTTGATTTTCAAACTAAGTTACTTCATCGGTTACGATCGGCAGCTCAGCCACCGCCGCCTCTCTGTCCTCCCTGCATGGTTACATTGGTGTCACTGCTGCCATGAGGAAAGCCACGGGATATCTTTTTATTCCATGAAATAACAAAAAACAGTAATGTACAGTAACGCATAGTCAAAGATCTGCCCCAAGTTTTGAAGAGATTAAAAGAAATCATAGAGAGAGTGTGTTGAGTTTGTGGCAATAATAAAATCCATAAAAATACAAGACAAAGGCCTTTTAGGAGCCTATGTTTGATCTTCAGAATTTTTTTTTGTCAGATCTTAATAGTAGAACCTCATGTCTTGTGAGTTTTGGGTATCGTTATTCTCCTATGACTAACAGATTAAACAGGATGCAATATGAATAGCACAACATAATCCAGACGGCTATTTTCATCATGCTGTGGTGTCGCAGCATGATGTTGTTAGGCAGAGGGAAGCTGGTCAGAGTGCAGATAGATGGAGTTACAAATCCTAGGCGAAAACCAATTAAGCGTTTAAAGCAAATTCATGTGATAAAATGGTCCAGTCAAAGTCCTGACCTAAACCTCAAAGCCGATGTCTGGAAAAACTTGAGTTCAAGCTAAGCTGTAAAAAGAATGGGCAGCATTTTTTTTTTTACTATGCAAATGTGTGAAGCAACCCAAACAAGCCGGGGCAAAGTGGGAGGCGGCGCAATCAAACCTGACTCAGAAGCTTTCAATTTTTTTTTTTTGAAATGGTAATATATAGCTGAAACCCATTCATCACTGTCCTTCTACTTTTCAATTATGCATTACTTTGTATCATTCACACAAAATCCCATTAAAACACACTGAAGTTTGTTGCTTTGACATAAAAGCGCCATACGTGTTGTCACAAATCGTACACGCTTGGAGCCTCAGTCAGTTTAAATCAAAGCTTCGATTCTCGCCCTCAGGCGACCGAAAGCAACGTTGGAACTCTTCTTAGTTCCTTCCAAATTTGGCCTGCGCAGTCAGCAAGCTAATGACTTTTTAAGTGTGATAATCGCTTAATTAATCCCACTTATTGAAGGACTTGAACAATATCCACAGGACTCCTGTGATTAAGAGATTCTCCACCACTTTGTTGTTGGATGTTTTGCTCAGGTTTTGGCTAACTCGTGTGTTTTAAACATCAGGCTCTCGGTTAATTTACAGTATGACTAAACACTGGGCTCTACAATGTGAACATTGAGGAGGAAGAATAATCCCTAAAAAATGCTCCATAAAAACAGGCTTCCTGGTGGGGAAGTAGCTCGGTAATATTACTCACAGCTCCTATCTTTGATGTGGGATCCGTCTCCGAGTGGGTAGGAGGCGTTCTTTTTAAGAGAAATGGACAGAGGGGCGAAAGGGGAGAGCGGCTCGTTTTATTGCTCCTCTTTACTTCTAGGGCCAAGGCGCTCCAAACTTCAGTTACCACTTTGGGAAAAAATGTGCGTGCTGTCGAAATGTTTAGCTTGCCGAGCGTCATACATCACCATCTGAACTACTGGCTCTGGTTGTGGTTAGACTCACCATGGGATGGCTCTTATCTGCTGAAGCTTCTGTCTTCATAGATGGTGATCTCGATCTGGTGGAGGTTGTTAAGGGAAGAGCAGTTGTTGCGAGTTCGCACCGAGTTTCAACCCAAACCAAAAGACGCTGCGCACTTGTTTTGTGCGCTGGCCTGAGCCACACAACAAGGTACAACATCCGTCAATCTTAAAACTGATGGGTTTTTTTTCTTTTTTGGAGCTTCGTCCAGAAATTGGATGTAATGGGCTTGATTGAAATATCACAATCTCAAACTGAAAGTTTGAGAAACTCTTAACATTTGACTAATGCATTCATAACCCGGGAAACATAACAGTCAGTCCCTCCAACATAGTGCAGTGGGTTTTTTTGTGATTGTTGCAGCCTAAAAGAACTGATTTATTCAAATAGTTGTAGAAATAAAATTCAGCATTACTTTTGCCAGTCTTACAAAAAGGGTTTGAATTGATGAACATAAGATCCTGTGTTTTTTGGTGAAGGTTAATAGTTAATATTTAAAGTGCGAATAACATTTTCAAGTACCTTATTGAAAAATTGCTTTTCACGCTCATTTGAACACCAACTGAATGCCAAGTACAAACAAATCCTTCAGAATAATTTTAAACGTTTTTTTTGCCAAGAACAGAAATAACTTTTTTTTAAAAAAGACGATGCGCATGTTTTCATCTGGCTGGTTCAGCTTTCAAGAGGCGTCATAAAACAGGAAGCTTTAAGTGATTGGTCAAAATCCAGCTGAGTTGCAGTGATTGGTCCAAAACAAAGGAAATACAGAAAACGTTAAGCTCATTGCAGAAAAGTTGTGATGACTGTTAAAAATTGCAAGTCAGTACAACATTTGAAAATGCCGAGTGAATTTGCATTAAAAGTTTTGGTTTTGATCTCCAGAAACTTTTTATTTGTAATTCAAAGGCTCTTTGTCTCCCTTTGGATTTAAATATAACAGAAGTTCACTTGTCATAGTTTACTCTACATTGTTAGAAGTTACAATTATTTGGGTATCATTTCGCTGACTATAACCTGATCTTTTTCATGAACAGTGATGTAATCTGAACAAAAAGGCAGCAGAGTGTGTATTCTTTAAGGAAGTTAAATTCCACAAAAGCCTTTCTTACTGAATCGGTTTTCATTTTTTCTACCGTTTCTTGGTTTGGAAACTTGAGAATAAAAAACGTCTCATCAAAATCGTTCAGGTGGCAAACAAGATAATCTGCAATCTGGTCTCTGAATTTATGAGCTCTTGATGCTATAAAACCTTTTTACACATTCATGAATTCATGGGTATTTGTATGACTTGTCTACTTTTTACCAACACAGTTTGAGTACAATTCTGTACGCGCCAACCTTGTGAAAAGCTTATCAGCATAGAATGACTGACCGTAAGTTTATGTGAAAAATATTTTGTACATAAGGCAAAGGAACAGTTTATGTACAAATGAGCAAAAAACCGTAGAAACATGATCTGAAAAGTAGGACTGAAACAATTAATCAGATTAATTATGATTTTAGTTGATATTGAGACTAATTTAGTAATTGATTCATCGTTAACTGGTGGATACAGACAGAAACATATCTGTACAAGTATACAAAAAATACATACATTTTGCATTTAAATGCTTGTAATTATGTTTCATCCAGAACTCCTCAAGTGGCATTGTAAATTAATGTTATGTAATTGCATGGTAGGCAATAAAATGTTTTCTTATTTTTAAAGGGAAATTGATTTGTCTATTTGCATTCGTTAATGTATTTCTAATACTCTTTTAAAAAGGCAGAAGTGGTTAAATAAAAAATCTGCAGAACGAAAAAATAAATTTCACCTGATCGATCCGTCAAAATAATAAATGATCAAATAATCGATTGCAACAATAATCGCTTGTTGTAGGTCTACAGAAGAATATTAAACTGTCATATTCATTTTGTCAAAACGTTAAAACCGTAGTAGTTCAGGTGAAGTGCGACCGTCAACTCCCCCCCTCCCCCATCTGTTGCTAAAATCAGCGCAGCAGTTTGACAGCGTTGGAGAAATAATCCAGATCGCTGTCACTCCACCAGCGAGGCGGGGAACAAAGTTCAGCTGCTAACAATTTCAGTCATATTCTGTAAACCTTCATCTCCTCTTCCCACCCAGCTGGAATTAAAGAGCATGGTGAGCCACCACACACACACATCCACACACACCCACCGACAGTCAGGATGTTGGGGCACCTATTGGTTTTATGGAGATGTTATAGATTACATAGGACTTTTATGTAACTTTTTGAAGCGCTTACATTCATAGCAGCAGATTTCCTGTAAGCAGCTTTGACTGCTAGATTCCATATTTACCCACCATCAGAAGGACGGTAAAAAACCCCACCAACACTCAGACCCGCTGTGCGCCCTTTCTTGGAAATCCAGAGGCTCATACAAGATGGCTGTTTTTATGATGAGGACTGTAGCTTACAATTATAAAAAAAAAAACTATTTTCAATTGGATTTATGGTTTCACAGAGAGTGGGAGGATACGACTCGGAGTCCTCTTTCGATGGGATCTGTCAGCAGGAGGCCTCGTGGCGCGTAGATCTTGTCGTTTTGTTCCTGGATATATTTGGCAATCCTCTTCAAAACCTAAAAAAAAACAACAAAGTTTTAAAACAAAATTGTGACTTTTGAGAACACAAATCCTAAAGTATAAAGAAAAAAGATTTGGGTTGAAAGGATTGTCTTGATCTTGACTAACTGATTATGAAAGTGCACGTCAACTAACTTAGTAATCAATTGATTGCAGTCTGGATCATAAAAAATTCAGGAAAGGTTATTTGCTGATCAGATGCAGAGCAGTAATTTAGCCAATATTGTACAAATATATATATATATATATATATATATATATATAAACTTCCGTTTTAGCTTCACCTAGTTCAAATTTACTAAAGGAATGCTGCTACTGCATTTTAGACAATAAAATGTTCATTTTTCTCATCCCCCCAAAAAAACAGATTTTTTTATTTTTTTATTTGAATCTCTCAATGTAGAGTGTGCCATTTAAGAAAAAAATATATATCAAATTAGTCGTCATAACAATTGATAGAAAAAACAATTATTCAAATAATTATTAGTTCCAGCCTTAAAGGTATAAATATTCATTAAGCCCCAAAAAAACTTATTTGGGTACAGTGGACTCACTTGGAACAAATGTGAACACTGTGTAACTTTGCACAGCCTCCATCTCTCACCTTCTCGTAGTGAGTCTCCATACAAAGGAAGACGGTGTAAGCGGTGAGGCAGGCCAGGCAGCCTTCAATGAACGACTGACTTCCCATCTTCTCTGCTTCCGCATAAAGGTTGTTCAGCGACCGGATCGTCTCCTCAAACTGCTGCTTGTCAATCTGAAACATACGGAAGCAATAAAACAAGACCAAGCAGGTCAAATTAGGGCATCAGAAGGGCAATTACTTAAAAGGTGTGTGTATGATTTATCTTAGCAGTTCTTTTCGTCTTGATAAATGAGGGGCTGGATGTTCTCAGACCGGTCATGCATCAAGAGAGTTCTAGGCTTCCTTCCCGCATTTCGAAACACCTCCTGAGCCGATCGGGTCGTCTCGGCCACGAGGCTCGGGGATGTTTCTACTCAGCAACAGACAGGAAACGGTCCAACTTGGACACAAACATCACAAGTATACAAAGCAAAGCAACTCTCGAAGCGCTCGCTCTTCAGAGACACGGGCCCAAAAGACACAACCTGGGTTTCTAAGTGAAATTGTTGGACTCAGAGCTCTAAAGTATTTACATCCTGGAACTGTTTTGAGTTTGTCGTGACCTGAACAAAGCTTTAAAGTTTGCATAAAAATAAGAGGATTTTTAAAGCCGTTACAAATAAAAACCTATAAAGGTTTTATATACTAAAGTCTGTTAAAAACATTTACCAGACATTTCCTTGGTGCAATCAGAGGGTTTTTGTTTTTCAATATGTACAACCTATTTTATGTTTATTATCTTTTTAGAACTGTGCTTATGCTTTCTCTGATTTTTGGATTTTGTTCTGCGCGTGTCTTTCAAGTGGTGCTTAATGACAAAGTGAATTTTTATTCGCCTCTCCTTCACTTTGATACTTGTAGATGAAACGCAGTATAATTCTCAGATTTCAACAAATGAGTAAGCAAAGCAGCTCGGTTAGATGTAGAACAAATATAAATCCAGCTGTTTCTGGCCTGTTTTCTTGAACAATATCATGTTTGGGGAAAAGCACATTGAATAAGGTTCTCCAGTCAGAAGAAGCTAAAACAAAGGCTGGGCGATTAATCAACTATATACATTAATTGAACTTCTGTGTTTTGAAGATTGTATTTTCTGAAAATTGAATATATAGGATTAAATATATTCAAATACATGTATTTAATCTTGTATTAAACACATTAATACATGATTAATGTATTTAAGGTCAGCTTACTATAAACTTTTTAAATAATAAGACATTTTAAGGTCTTCATTTCACACTCATTTAAGACTTTTTGTTGTACAACCTATCCATTTGCATCTACTAATCATTAAAAAATCTCACCAGTGAGAAATAATACTAATACTTTGACTTTGATAACCTTAAAATGTTTATCTTGAGTCAGTTCTGTGAAGTGCCTCTTGTATTAAAGCTAAACATAAAACAAAAAATAAATAAAAATAAGTATGTAGTAATTACTGAACTCTAATTTTTGTGTTCTGTTGTACCAGTGGTTCTGTACCAGTCTGTATCAAGACGGGACACAGAAAAAAAACCCAAAAAACAGACAAGTCAGTGAATATCCTCTAAGTGGAACCAGGAGCAGCAGAAACCTGCTTCTTGTGCCTGAGGAATGTATCATATCTGGCACTTCCCATCTAAAGTTTATTTTCCCACTAATTTCCCAGTTTGAAGGCTGTGATTCATCTCAGCATCTTCCCACTGTGAGCTTCAGGACACAGGCCAGCAAAACCAGACAATTAATGAAACTCCACTGATATATATATATATATATATATATATAGACTTAATGCAGAGTATATATATATATTTCTCTCTCTCTATAGATATAAAACAAACAGAAAAGAAAATCACATAAACTAAAACAACAAACATGCCTGAAGGAAAAAAAAAACACGTGACTTCTGAAAACCACAAAATATGCAAACCCTGCAAAAAGGGAAAAAATGTTGGCTCAAATAACAAAAAAGCTAAATTAACTAATTAAATAAAAATGCAGGCTGTAAAAAGTTTGGCACTGTGTTGCGCTTAAAAAAGAGAAGAAAAGAAATAGAGGTACAGCTAATCTTGAACGAATGTGTGGGGGGAAGAATTTTATGGCAGTGAGAATGACTTCTTCCACAGCCTCATCTGCCCAGCGTTGATGTGGATATGAAATAAATACCGGAAAAACACTGAAGACCACCAGACTCCTGGGGAAGTGCCAATAAAGCTTCTGAAATGATGGGAAGCAGCTCTTTCATGCGGTAATGAGCGTCAAAGCCACAGCTCTAACTTCAGCAACCTGCTCCTCCATCTAGACATCCGAGTTCCAGCTACTGCCGCAGGAAACACAAACCTGGAGTTTCCTCCAGGTTTATAGGCCTGGCAGGCCTCCAGGCTTTAACTGTCCCCTTCCAGGCAAAGCGTCATTTGTTTTTTTTCATTTTTATTAGTTTATTCAAATATGCATGTCTAAAGCAGGGACAGCAAAGACATATTACAGTTGGTGCATTGAACTAGGCAGTAGGGGGCGCTCACGAACTGTCGCGTACCCAACAACGTCAAAACAATCTGCAATTAGAAATAGAGTATGGTACTCAGATCCAAAGGAATGTGCAGCTGAGCAGAATTATTGTAAAAAATTTTTACAAAATATGCATGTGTATATTTGTGCACTGAAAAAGGCTGCATACATGAGTTCTATGTAAATACCACCAACCAAACACAGACGGATCTTTTTCATCCAATCAGAGTTTTTCTTGTAAACAGTGCAGTCAAGTGGATAAATAACAACCAATCGCAACCAGCCAATCAAGAATTCTGCTCCAAGCAGCAGACACTGCTAAACAACATGTTCGGATTTAGGAACACACAAGAAAGCCTAACACAATAATTGCCTGAATTTGTTGTATTAATCATTTTTTTGTTCACACCAAATAATTATTCATTTGTACTAAACAAATGAAAAGGTAGCGCTTCTTTGACTGTTCGAAAATGTGACCAGTATTACATAGCTGGTTTGAAGATCCACTGGTTGATTACTTACCGTAATTTGGATTTTAACTTCAGTGCAAGAAAAAAACGGCATAAATTTTAAGTGCATTTTACTGTGTCTGAGTCTCTGTAAGTGGTTATGTATTGTCAATAGTGTATTCCACATAATAACCTCATATTTTCAAATTTCCTGTTAACATTTAACATTTTTTAAATGACGGACCGCCGCCGGTGGACCGCCCTACCCCCCCTACTACCAGGCTTAGCTAGTTTTCTTAGGGGAGGAAAAACTTTGAAACATTACAATTTAGATTCTCAGTAAAAAACATATATGAAAAAACTAATAAAACTGTTTCATCAATGACTCAAATTCAAATAAGAGAACAATCATTTACACAATGCTGACTAGCTCCTATGAGTCCTGAAATCAAACTCCTCATCATAGAAATGACAAACACATGTTGCACAGCCTGGTTGGGTTCCAGCTGTGGACTGAGCCATGAGGAAATGTTCTGCTGCACCATGGGAGTATATTAGTGGGGAGAGGAGTGAGCCAATCTGGCTACGAAGCGCCGCTCAGAGCCGTCATCAGGCGGCTCTGATGACGTCGATATTGTACAAAGAAGCAGGTATTCCTCCACTCTCTTCTCATCACCGTGACTCTGGAGTCTCCACCAATCAGTGATCCTCTTCTTCTGTTGAGAACACTGAATTGTAATCTCCTTGTTTACAATTCTTGTAAACTCTGTTTTTGCACTGAAGCCCCCCCAACTACAGCCAGTTGTATTTATAGAAGAGGTCGCGCTAAACTTCTGTTTCCATCATTTGGACTCACTGTATGAAAAAAATAATTCCATCATATTCTATTTTTATCCCATTTTTTTCCAGTGATACTCAGGCCTATTACTAGACTGGACATAGTTACACACATGTGCCATTACTCTGCATTAAGTCGGGAAAATGACCCAATCACCCAGAAGAACTTGAGGAAGGACAGCATTGCTTTGCTATTAATAGCTAACACTACGACAGCTAGAGAAGTTCCACTGGTTTTACATTTAACAGGCCAGTTAGATGTTTTAATTTGTATTAAAAATATGGGCAAAAAAAAGTGGGAAGTGGGTCAGTTATGCTACTTTGACTTTGATAACCTTAAAATGTTTATGTGCTTTGTAAATGTAGTTGTTTGGTTCAGTAAGCGCTTAAAAAATGTAAAGAACACAAGTAGTTCTGAGATCATTTCAGCATAATTTTTCTTTTGTTGTGGCGCACTGCAATTTCTGAAAGTTAGGTAACAGCAAAAAAACAAACTCATTTATTAATAGAATATTGCCATTATTTATATCAATCACCAAATAATGTTAAATATCTAATAAAGTATTTAACCAACTACATCTCTTACAGTGGCATTTATGTAAAAATTAATATACATTTAGTTTTCTTGGATCTTGGCAATAAACAAATTGTTTATGGCTTTATAAACATTTTTTTTTTCACATTTCAAAACATCTGCAATTGTCTCAACTTTAATGTAAGTAAAATGTTTTGGTTTTATCTTCATGACTCAATGCATAATAATAGTGCCTGAAGGTACGCATCACTAGAGAAAGCGACTAACGCGCCTTCCTAACCATAAATAAATACTGATGTTTATAGCAACTCCTCTCCCTGCAGACCAGCCTCCAGTCTCACTAAACACCTCAGATAAAACTTTGAGGCATTTTGAATGTTTTTTGAAACAAAGAGTCTTAAAATTCACTTCCTGCCAGAGGGAGCGATAGGAAGCCTTTTATCGGCTTCTTCCTACAACGGTGGAGCTGTACTCAGCTGGAATGTGATGTGAGGGCCGGCGGTCTGCTCTGCCAGCTGGCTGGAGGTTTCAGGGGAGAACACTGAGACCACCTCTGGGCCGTGGGTTGTTGATGAACATCATTTTGTCCCATTAGCCCAGAATGCACAGCTGATAATGGAGAACATTGAGAAAGAACAACAACTCCTCAGATTTCAACAAAACTCAGATCTTCCATCGTGACCGAAAACAGAAGAGACACGGAGAGGCAGCGGCCGTCATCAAGGCATTCGGCCTCCTATTAGGATTCTCATTTTACGAGGAACACTCTGCTGTTCCTCATGAAAGGACCAGCTGGGGTCCTAGTGTAAAACACGTCTCCCACCTTGGTCTCCAGCTCTGAAGGAAACTTGGTCTGGAACTGGCACATGGTTCCGTTGGAGTAGTCTCTCTGAATGAAGACTTTGGCTGCGACAGCCGCCTGCTGCCTCATGTCCTGTAAGCTGTGGGTCTGTGGAAACAGGAGTCAGAACGTCAACGTCTGTGGTGGCGAGGCACAGGGAACTCATCACAGCAAAACACAAACTCCTGGACTTCAAGAAAAATCAAAAACTGCTTTCCAAACAGGTCTTCCTGTGCATTCTCCATATCAAGAATATAAAAGGCAAGGGCTAGGTGATAAATTGATATTATCAATTTATATTTTTGGTTTTTAAAGATTTAATTTGACAATTTAGGCAGGCTTTGCAGGATTTGGACTTTGAATTTAGGGTAACTCTATGATGAAATATAAGAGTCAGGCTAAGATTTAATTCCCCCCACCCCTCCCCCGAGAATAGAGTCATACAAGAATACTGTCATGTGATAATATAGTCAAAATAATACAAGATTTAAGGTGTAATATTATAAGAACTCAAACACAAAAAAACAAAAGAAATAAATTATCCAAGCTTTATTTTCCTAGTTTTAAGGCGCAAAACGCTGCATCTTTATTCCAGCAATATTAAGACTACATCACCATTATTAGACAAATATTTCTGCAGCCTGACTCAAATGCTCCAAAGTACAACTCACAGAAGCGATAATCCAAACAAAAGAAACTTTTTGAAAATTTATTTCTCACTGTTGTCATTTCATTTATTTATTTTTTATTGGAAAAGATAAAGCGGGAGGAAAGAAAAAAAAGAACAAAACAAATTTGCTATAAAAATAATCCGATTTGTTTTCTCTGCCATATCGCCCAGCTCTGCACGACAACGTATTTGTGATATAGAGAGCAGCCCTACTGAGGACCAGATAAGCCGAGATACTTCAGCTTTGTCTTAAGGTTTATGTCAAGATTACAAAGAACCATTAATAAAGCAAGCAGGGCAGGTGACTTATATCGCCTTGTTATAATCACAGATTATCTGAACTTCAGAGACGTAAAGCAAGTGAACACAGATATAAAGAGAACGTTGGACCTGCAGATGGAAACACGTTCCTGTAATCTAATCTGACCTTTGGCCTAAATGGTCCAGGTCAGGTCAGTAACTGTCATGGATGCAACCATGTTTCAGCATAAATTAATCAAATTAATGGCTGGCATCCAAGTCTAATCCAGATGCTAGACCGAGTCACATTTATAACACCTGAAGGTAACATGGTTAGTTGACTGAACCATAATGGAACTGTGCCCCTGGAAAATACATAATACTGGCCCTGTAATAATAAAAACACCCTGTAGAGCGGATGTCCATGTACTCTACAGTATATGTTGTCAATACGTGGTTGGGCCTCCTTTTTGCATGAATTACTGCATCAATGCAGCGTAGCATTTAGGAGCCACAGCCTGTGGTTTTGCTGAGGTTGCTATGACAGCAGCACTCTCAGGGTCAAACCAATTTGTTCGCTTTTAAAACCCACCAGGACCATGTCCATTAAAAATGATGTAAAATCGATGTGTCTGATAGAAATTGTTCAATTGGTCTAAAAAAAAAAATCATAGATTATTTTGTTCGTTTTGTTCTCTGCTACAAGCAAGTATCAAAATTTATATAAATAAAAGCCTCATATATGGCTGAGTAAATTTTACAACTTTTTCCATTGACGTTCTCATTAATCTACTTAACAAAATATTGACTCTGGACAAATGTGGACCGAAAATGGGAGAAATTATTTAATTCCGCTTCTCATTTAGCTGATATTTGTTTATTGTCTAACACAGACTGTATTATAGAGGATAACACATTACCCATTCATTTTTCATAGTCGTCACGGATTTTGCTTCTTTCATGAGCCAGTTTGCTGTCAGCAGTAAATGGTTTTATAGCTTAGTGCTTTCGGAATCAACCAATCCCAATCTTTGCCCGGTTTAATTGAAAACTCTTTTCACAACAAAATAGCTTAGCATGTTAGCAGCCAAACCGGGAGCTAGCAGCGGGCTAACACCACCCGTTCACTCTCGGTTTACTTCTTTAATAGTGAGCCAAACCCGGCACCACTACTGACATCTCAGGACATGTTTATGTTCTCCACATGAGAGGAAAAACAGAGGTTTAATTTGCATAGCCTACCTCCGCCATGTTGAAGATTTCTGAATTCCGCACGACGTGCTACGCAGTACTCGTTCCGTCGGGAAACACTTGTGTAATATTCGGTTCCAGTTCAAACTTGGCCAACAGATACAGGCTTACTGCTGAAGCAAACGTGCAAAAATGCAATATATGAAATTGATACAGACATATTTAAAATATTAGCAAGCAAATGTAGAAATTATTGTAAGACTATTTTAATAAAAGTACAAGGAAAAGATATTATTACTTAAGCAGGGAAAATAAATTCTCAGATTAAAGACTCCAGCCCTCATCAAGTTTATTTTGTTTTATAAATCACAACCTTTTGCATGTGAAGTTGCATGTGCAAGTTTCTGGACCCATTTTGTATGTATGAAAGCTTTAAAATTCTGTCAATCAAGTATATTGGTCCAGCATATTTCAGCAACAAGGCCATTCAAAGCACTTTACATCATAAAACGATAAAAACATCATGAACACATCACGTAGTCACCAGTTGTGAAAACCAACTGGTGACACATTGCATTTTCTCAAGTTCCATCATTAAATACATCAAATAAGTTGGTCAGTGTTCAATTTATTATATGGTTTGAGAGCAACTCTGAACAGGTTCTCAGTGTTTCAGCTGTTTTGCAGTTTTCTGGACGTTTGTCACAACATTTGTGGCACATAAAACCAGAATGCTGCTTCTCCATGTGTGGTTCTGATTCTGGGGATGTAGAGCAGAGCGGACCAGAACTAGAACCAGAACCAGAAGACCTGAGAGTTCTGGAAAGTTGATACAACAGTAGATCTTTAATGTATTGTGGTGCTAAGCCATTCAGTGATTTTAGACGATTGTAGTATTTTAAAGTCAATTCTCTGATGGTGAGCCAGTGAAAGGATTTTAGAAGTGGGATGATTTACGAACTAGACATTCCTGGTTTATTGAGGACACGGGCAGTAGCTGTCAAATTATTTTTAGGAAGATACTGTTGCAGTAATCAATGCAACTAAGGATAAATGCAGGGATACATTTCTCTAAATCTTGTTGGGTCATTAGATTTGTCCATTTCTGACCCAAAATAACCCACAGTTTCAGTTGATCCTGAGAACAACCGTGATCTCTTTATTGACAAGGTAATTGCTCAGATGCCAGACTGTGTCTCACACTCACCAATCACCGGCTCATACTTGATGTGTGCCAAATGTTTTATGAGTAACGAAGCATTGGGAGAATTTGCAAAACATGATTTAATTATACCATAAACAATGTCCCCGGTGGCAATTTGGGTTTGCAACTCACCCTTGGAGTTCTCGGCTTACACCGTTCCAGATCACAGGGAGGTTTTTCTTTTTTTTGCATGGTTTGGCTGCACACGCACAAAAGTCAGTTCAGATAAACATACACACCACAAGAAAAAAAATCACAAAAAAATAACATCAATATTTTTTCCAAAGTAGGATTTATCACAACAATTTGAAACAACAACGGCAGTCATTTTCCATTTATGTGAGTTTATGTTGAACTCTTTCTGCACTGTGAAAACGTAATTTCGCCAAGGATTCCAGCTGCTTCTCTGTGGAGACGTTCTGCAGGCCAAAAACAAACGGCACCATCAGAGTTCGCTGAACCGTTTCTGTTTGCAGTTGGTCTAACGTTTTTCTCTCTAGGTGTTTCAGTTCAGAAGATATGGAGAAATTTCAGTGATGCAGTGGCAGCCCTTCGGGACAAAAATACTTAAATATCTGGAAGACTTTATCCGATGTGCCCACCATCAGCAGATAATTTGATCCCTTCTACATCTCCTCATTTGCATTTTACTTTCCTCTGATTTCAACTGCAGCATTTCAAAGGTCTGTGTTACCTTCTTTGTGATTGTTAATTCTTTTTAACAAGATTTTGTCATCTAAAACCAACAAAAATACAGAGAAATGTAAGATCAAGTCAAAAAAAAGATGTGTGGAAATCTAGAAATAAATATTTGATTTAGGTAAAACTGTGAATAAATGCAAGCATAAATAAACAGAGTGAATACATACAAAGTCCTTCACAAGCAGTCACTGGTCAAAACAAAAATTTCCTTTCAGTTTATTTAGCCAGCGTCGAACGGTCATCAAGTCATCTGAGGGCCACTTCCAAGAGAAAGTAAACAAGTTCTATTCAAATCAAATTCAGTTTGTTCCAAAACAACAACACACAACAAGGCACAGTACAATGTAATTAAAGTCAAAGTCAGGAAAGGCTAACTTCTGCCTCTGTGTTTGAACTCATGGCAACTCCAAGTCCTGATCCTTTGACTGAATTATGTTAGTGACTTCCAAACCAGTATTCTAATTTGTCAGTACTGTCTTGCACAATTTTTATTTTAAATCTACCCCTTACTATATTTAGAAAAGTTTATAAATGTAAACTATTGCTAACTTAGCACAAAAAATAAGTGAACATTAAAGAAGTGACAAAATCAAGAACTAACTTCAGCACATATAGGTCTCTCCCCTCCCCTTTAGTTCTATGTAAAAAAAGAAAACAGTGGAATGTTCATGGCTGGTGTGTGTTTGCAGAAACAAGAACGTAGTGACATTTGCTTGTGTTGTGTCGCTGACTTTACAGCAATCTGCACCAAGCGTGCACGTAGCGACAGTGGAAGGAAAAAACTGCCCTTCAATAGGGAGAAGCCGTCATCACAAGCAATCATCTGTCATGACCGACGGAGGGGTTGAGAAGACGCTTCACACCGCAGTCAGTCATTCACACTCTGATGCTGGCAAGGAACTTGCCCAAGGACACAAATACAGAGGCAGGCAGAGCAGGACTAGAACTGGCAACCCGCTGACTGAGGTGGAAAAAAAACTGAGAGAAAACTAAGTTAACAGTTTAAAAAAAAGTATGCATTTGTATACTGGAGAACAGACAAAAGAAAGTGAGAAAAAAATGATCAGTTTGTCCTCCAGCAGTCTAAACCTACAGCAGCAT